TTTTTTTTTTTTTTTTTTTTTTTTTTTTTTTTTTTACTGTTTTTAAAAAGTGTTGGTTAAAAAAAATTATTTTTTGTTTTAAGAAAAATTGTTTTATATGTATTTACACTTCGAACTTTGATGTTTTTTTTTTTCTTGAATATTTCAAATATTTGCTGTTTGATGGCAAGTCCCAAAAAATAGTGTTTTGTTTATGGCAAAGTTTTGCAAACTATTTTAAATAAAAAAAAAATCACGGTCTTAAGTCTAACGAGTCATTGAACACACACACACACATACACATACATATAAATACATATGCTAATGATCTTTATTTTCGGCTGGTGTGTGGCGCTGCCGTCATAACATCACTTTTACATTACATCTCAGAAATAGATGCTGCGTACAAAGACATGACGCCCTTGACTAAAAACGATAAGCAATCAATTTTCTTTTATTACGTAAAATTGCTTCACATTTACGTTTTTCATACTCTATTAATATAATTGAAAGCCGCAGCGATTGATTGCTTATTAAATGCAATATCAAAAATTTTGTGTCTGTGTAACTTAATTTATTATTATACTCGTTTTGTGTTTTTAATTGAGTGTATTAAAACAAAAAAAATAAAAGGTTAAACCTGCTATGTACACTTTAGCGTATAAATTAAGCTTTGTTTTAACAAATAAAACAAAGTAAGCTAAAGTAGTCCCCAAGCGAAGTAATATTATTTTAACCAGAATTCTATTCAGTTTTTGATGCAATTAAGAAAATTAAAAAAAAAAGAAAATATTTACGTATTATGTTATTTTCATATATTTTGAGGTTTTTTAGATTTAACTAAATTCATAGTTTGTTTAAGTAAATACATTTTATTTTAAATTTTATATTCATCGCATATTTTATCTTTATCTTTATTTTTAATTTATTAATTTTTTTTTATTATATTATTTTGTTTTATTTTATTCACATGCTTTATTTTTATAATTATTTATCTTAATTTTCTTTTTTCTGTTTATAAGTTTGCGAAAAATTTTTCCATTCTTAGTATGTTTGTTGTTGTGTTATCCGGCCCTCTATGCTACTATTGTAATAGTGTTGTACTTTTTACCTTTTATTTATATCGAATGCGTACAAACTAAAGTGTGATTTTTAAATGCAACTTGTTTATATAGCGCTTGAGCGATACACCGACAGGCTAAACATTGGCCGCTAACGTGTAAAACATATGAAACGAATTCGGCTTTTTATGCTTTTTCACTTGTATTGTTGTTTTACGCCAATTTTGTTATAAACATGATGAGATCTTGTACTCACCAAATTTCTTACACATTCTCTATTTAACTAATTCTCTGTTTATCTCAATACGATTAGCAGAGCTGCCGTCTTACGTTTAAATATAAACATCACTTCACGTCCAAAATTCTTTTGGAATCATTGCTTTGACTTTAAAAGAAAGTGGAGCGCAAACACAAGGTCTATAACAATTAACTCGACTCTGAGTTACAAAGTATTGAGCGCACAGTTGGCGACGACTATCCTTAATGTGTCACGCATTTGAATATCGTAATAAATCCAATCATTTCAGTAGTCACTTAGCGATAATAACAGTTCGCAAGCAACGCTCTTGGACAGACTTAATGCAGATATGTTTAATTGCTTTCTTTGCTGCTCTCTTTAAAAAAATAGAGCTAAAAACAAGTGAAAGCTTTATAGTGGGCCATGTCTCACACTATACCATTTTTGTTAATGTAGTTTTTCATTTGCCAGCTTTCCAAAATAAGACGCTATATGGGAAGTGGTCGGAAAAATGGTTTGATGTGAAACATGTTTACCCCGTTCATCGTTCGGTCAAAATATGCCGATATGCCAATTTTCATCAAAATGTCTCTGAAATATAAGAATACAAGACCAACGAATTGACATCAGAGGGACCGGATAGAGAAGCTTAGGTCAATGCAGATAGTGATCCTGAATCGACCGGTATAATAAACGGTGGGTCAAGTTCAAGTCCTTCTGAGTGTTGTGTACACCCGCAGAATCTTAAAATACTTGTGGCGCAGGCTGTAATTATTTTTAAGTATTCTTAGAGAATTTCCAATTTCTAAAAACATTTATATAGATTGGTGCGCCCTTAATAGTATTCGACGTAATAGTCGATCATTATAAAATCCTCTTCATTTATTTTTCCTATCTATTTCTCTGTCTACCATAGGCAATTGAGGCTAAGGCTTTTTGAACCTCAGGCTTTAGGCATTGGAGTGCGAGTGAATGCAAAGAGAACGCTTATCAGCCAAAGTTTGATAACCCTTAACTTAATCCTATATTTTAGCAGATTTCAATACATAACTAAATTAGGTTATTGTGTTGCCGAAAAATGATGTTGACTTGGAAGAGCTTGAGATTGAACCATCTTTTATTATACCGAGCGATTCAGTTATGTGTTCATGGTCAAAACACAGACCGCAATTTTTGGTTTGGCCCAAGGGCGAATGCTATTAAAAATGACTCGGATCGGATCACGTTTTCGACGACTTCCTATATAATGCCTTATTTTGATAAGTAATTTGGGAAAAAATCGCTTACTAATAGTGCTTCGGCATTCTAAATTGGTGTGAAAATTATAGATCGGATGAGACAATTTTTTGAACTCGTTACCATACAACCTTCCCTACTAAAACTGAATCCTTTTATATGATAAGAAGGTCAAATTTCCAAGCTTCTTAATGAAAATTTGTAAATAAAAATAATTTGATATAAAAATTATCCTTAGCGAATTTGGACGCGTAGACCTATGTTTTGAATCCTAACTCATATGAACTCATATGGTTTAATGAAAACTAAAGCATTATACGCCAAGAAGGTCTAATTGTTAATATTCTATGATAAAAACTTGTAATTAGTACCAATCGCTTGGATCTGTTTTAGACCGACGTAATATAAATAAGAGTAAACCCTTCTATGGTGACAAAGCCTAATTTGTGGTTTGTGATGACGGAAGTAACTGGAAAATAATTAAATTTTTGACAAGTTGACAATGAAGTTTGCTAAATTGAAACCACGCTCACGTTTGAGAATCATCCATTAAGAAGGTTTTTGGGAAAATTTTGCATTTACATAAAAATAATGTATAATTGTTGATGTGGAATTAATTAAGCGAAGTGTTGGATCAGTTTTGCTCAAAAACTTAACTTCACCAAAATCCACGAAAATGTATTGTTAAGAAAAAGAGAAGGAAATTTTCTACTATTCTCGCTTCTTTCCGATTTACATAAAAAATATTTTTCCTTTTATAATTTCCGATACAGTAATAGTTGGCAATCCTTTTTAAGCGATAGAGAAAAGAGAGAGAAACTTACATGCAAGTTCTATGGGGAGAGAGAGAGAGAGCTTGATAAAGCGCTACGAGTTGTGCAGAAGAGGTAAAATCGTATATTTTTCACATGTGTATCTTCAAAATTTAAACATCAGTTTGACCGATACTCAAGGGCAGAAAATGTACGCAATAACAACGATAACAATGACAATAAAAAAAGAATGATATTTTAATGAATTTTGCTTGCATGAGCTAATTAAGGATAATATGCAAGTAATTGAAATGTCGTGGAAAATGTTTATGATAATAGGCGCCAAGTAACAGCAATAGTATGCGGAGTAATCCGACTGACTGACCGACCATATATGACTAAAACCATAAAAATGAATGAATTATTTTTATTATTATTTGAAAAATTTATTTTCGTTTTTTTATTGACGGCGATGTGAATCGTCCATTGGCTGGTTATTTAATTTAATGTTCGATTCGAACGAAATTGACATTTGAAAGTATTACTAATTAAATTCTAAAAATATTATATGTTTAACTAAATTTATTTCACCGAACAGTAATGCTTGCAACCTTAACGCAATAATTTGCGTCACAGTAACCAAGAGAAGAGGAGAGACAGACAGACATACAGACAGCACAAGGATGTTAATCTTAATCATATGTTGATTTATGCACTTAAGCTCCCTGTTCGGCTAACATTCAAATAAATTATTATTAACATTCATTTGTTAAACAATCGCTTTTTATAAGAATTGTCACCACTTTGTTAAAATTTCCTTAATGAAGAAAAAGGAAAGAAAGAAATATTTCCTCCTAGCCTTTTGCTTCATGTTCATATAACTGGTTTCGGAGCAGTCAATTTACCTTCTGCGTAAAAAGTAACGTGCAGTTGTTGTTAACTTATAAAAAATATTTTTATTTTTTTTTATATATTTCTTGTAATTGTAATACACTCTCGTTTAGCCCCCTTTGCTTAGTTTACTGCTATCACTTTCGTTTCTTCCGTAATAGCTTTTAGTTGTTGAACAATTGGCCGGCCTTTGCCTTTTTGCCGTTCGTAGTTTCACACACACACACATGCACGCGCGCACACACAAATGCAAACACATGTGTGTAAAAACTATTTATAAATGACGAGGGGTAGGTTGTCAATGCTTCGTATGTTTTTGTATGTTTATTTTTCTTTTTTTTTTGCATGTGTATCTTGTATAGGTAACATACACATGCATAGATGTATATATACCGATAGAGAGACGAGCCTCCAATGTTGTGTGTCTAATAAGCTTACATTCATATAACACAATGTGATGTTGTTGTTTTAATTTTTTAATTTTGTTGCTTATTTTTACAATACGGGCATAACAAGAATGCAAACGTTTAAACAAATGACACGCAAAAAAAAAAGTAAATATGTATGTAAAAATAATATATAAATGTATATCAGTAAAAGTAATTTAAAAAAAACTTTAAATTGAACTTTTAATGAACAATATTCTACAAAGTTTAAAAAATAAATTAAATAAAATATTTTGTTTGAAAAATTATCAGAATCATTATTATTTACATATTGTATATGTACATACATATATAGGTAATACAATTGAATCTGAAGCCATTGTCAGGGATATCGTAACCAGTAAAGTATCGTGTTAGATAATATAGGTTCCATGACAAGTGTGTGTGTGCAGCGTTTTTAGCAGTAGAAAAATTTGAATCAAACAATGGTGTTGCCAAGCACCTGTGTTCACCTCCTCTTTTTTGGTGGAACAGTTCCGAGAAACTTCGTATTCGCATTAATATGTACTTTTAGGCTAAATTAATTAACATCAATAAAACCACGCATTTTTTTATATATGAAACTAGAGAGTCTCTAGTCGTGACTATAGTGATCGCTCGGTCGGCGATCGAGCACACAGCTCTCAGCGTTCCTTCTCTTTCTCTCGCCATTTCCTTCCCACCATCACTCTATTACACGTACAGGGGTATGACCTGTGATCATTTCAAAAAATCGACTAATTTTTTTTTTTGATTCACCTACAAAATTAGTGGCAAATTTGATGGACACCACTAAAGGCCTTTACTAAGCGATCGAAGGGAAATTGAAAAACCCTTTAGTATGCATGAAGAAGAGCACGATTTCGAGAAAAAAATTTACCATTGTGAACGGCTTTCAAGTTTTTAAACGATTTAAAATTTTGTACTATCTCGTTTCTACATCAGTTTATGATAATTTTTAGATACGCTACATTATTCTGTAGTTATATCCTTGTGCTAAAACAAGTCACTGCACCAAATTTCATCAAAATATCCAAAGAGCGAGGGCCTGTAGGCTGAAAACCAGACTAAAAAACATTCAAACAAACCTATAATAAAAGGTGGGCCTATCTCATACATTTTCTAGTTATTATATACTTTCGCACAAACTTAATATACCCTTGTGCCACAGGTGGTGTAAAGTATGAAGATATGATAAATATTTACTTTTGCTTTTTATTAAACTTTTACCCAATTTGTAATTATTGAAAAATTCCGCCCATTTTCGGACATAGACTAGGCAATTGATGGAGCAATATAGGTGGCAAAGGTCAGCATTCCATTTCAATTTTACAGCTCTATGTACTGTCAATAGTACTGGTAGATACGGGCGGATGGACGGATATATATGTAGGGAATAAAATACAAATAAACTTCAATGCTTTATCAAAACCTTTCCGTTACCGTTATTACGAAGGCAACGGCAAAATTATTTAAACCCTCTTATTGCAGCTATGGCTTCAACTTAAATGAAGCAAGGTGATTGAAAATTTTTTTGAAAGTCTTACCGAAAACTATTGATAGAGCAATACATTGTACATAGCAAATTCAACAAAAATTAAGATAAACTA